TCTTACCCTTTTCTCTTCGTTTTACCTTTTCCTCTTTATCTTACCATTTCCTTTTATTTTCCCGAAAACTATAAAAAAACAAGAACAGTTAGTAACCATTCCATAATATTAAAAAAAACTACTAAGATTCTACTTACAAATCTTAGTTTTTTTATTATCACGAAGCTCGTTTCGTCTAGCAATACCTGCAAAAAAAAGAAAAAAAAGAAACATTAAAATATTTCTAAAGTAAAAAAATAACTTCCCCTTTCCATTTACCTATTATCCAAAATCAAAAGGAAAGGACCACATTTAAAATTTAAAATAAAATAAAATAATTTTTTTGTTTTTTTCTGCACCTATAGAGCCAAAGAACGAGAAAAAGAAGGAATAAAAGTTTAAAAAAGAATGCATAAGATTCTTTTTTAAACTTTTGATATGTGTAACGCGTGACATGGCTATTCGATTAGCATGGTTAGTTATTCAACCAATGTCTAATCATAGATCATTGCTAATTAAAGTCGAATTTTTAATTTTAATCGAATATAGGCCAAATTTTACTAAGGCCGAATATTCCTTTTTCTACTAGTGGTGAGAAGGACTTAAAAAAAAGTGTAAAAAGCTTGAAGAACGACTAATAAAAACTGAGAGATGGCTTGACATAGCATTAAATGCAGGTAATATTCTTGCAGAAAAATGCTCACGATTTATGGAGAATAGATCAGATGCATGACAGCTTCTCTAGTAATATTCACCAATTTATTAAGATCAAATTCTCGTCTAAATGTATCATCTTTAAAAGAATTGGCTATTTTACCTGCAGAAAATGATTCGTCTTTTGGCTTTATACTAGCCTTTTTTTTCTGACTAACTTTATCTTTTCGCCCATTAGTTATTGTATTCAGACCATTAGAATTTGCATCATTCTCATTATCCATAAGATATTCCGTATAAGTGATCCCATCTTCTTGTATGATAGTAAAGGAGGAAGTATCATGTAAAGATTCCTAATTATTTTCTGAAATCTGGTTAGAGATGCTAACAGATTCTATGATTCTGCGCCATTCTCGGTAGGTTCAGGAGTTCTCTTATTATCAATTATTTTTTGATATGTTATTGATCCTATACAATGCTTTTTACATATAATACGCTGAGCATTTGAAATATTATTCTGAGTATTTCTAATTTCTTCAATAGCTTCAGATGACAAGTATCGGACATCTGATCTAAGAAATTTACGAGTATAAGTTGTTTGTTTTTTGCTTATAGTTTGCTAGTAATAAATTTGTATGATACTAATAAAAAACTTGTAGAAAATTTATTTGATATTGGTCTGACATTAGTCTGGCATTAGTCTGGCATTAGTTTATTACATATATGTAATTCGCTTTTTTTACAGTGTAGCGTACTATAATTATGATTCAAATAAAAATAGGTTTAGGATATATATACTTCAAATATCATATTTGTTTTAAACTAGTTTGTTATTGGTCTTTTATTAGTTTGATATTGGTTTGATTCTGAACTCCTATTTTCCATATTTGAAGAAAAAATATACATATGAATGATAATTTTGCTGATGGCTGTCAGGAAAAAAGAAATTATAAAAAACTTTGCCTTCAAATAAATTCATATGGCAAATATACATACGATAAATGAAATAAATAATGGGACATTCTTGGTATCTGGCAATAAACTTGGAAATTTGCCATTTAATCGATATCCATCTAGCTGAACTAAGCTTGAGAACCAATGTTTAAAACATGATCTAGATATCGCTTTAAGCTCAGGTATTCAGCTTGGCACTAGAAATAATCTTCTGATAAAAAATAATGAGAGTTTTTCAGAGCATGTATGTCAGCTTGAAGATGAAGTGAGAGAATTCAAAAATAAGATCAATCAAAAAGAGATTTCTCTTGCAAATACTAAGAGCAAGATCGCTACAAAATTAAAAGAAATATAAACTCTCCAATTAAGAATAGAGGAATTAGAGCAGGATGTTTCTTTGGTACAAAAGAGATTATCAGAAATGGATTTTCTTAAGCGTAAATCTGAACTAAAATACATAAAACTATCTGATGAAAATATTAGTTTAGAATTAGCAAATATGGAGTTAGAAGATATACTGGCCAAAAAAAAGGATGAATTAATGCAGATGAGAGATGATTTACTTTCAGCACAAAAGGCAGTGATAGAGAAAGATTCCCTTCTTCAAGAAACTAATTCTCTTTTATTAGAGCATATTTCAAAAACATCCAGCAAATCTAAGCAAAATGAAGTGATTGGAGGTGATAAAGAACTGGAGAAAGGTAACGAAATCACTAGCCCTAAAATAACTTCAGAATCGCCTTATTTCTTATTTTTTTCAGCATGCATTCATCTTCGTAATAGTATTACTAATCATATACATCTTATGGTACGTATTCTCTTATCTATATTCATCTTACAATGAAGAAAAAAATATTCTGAACTATAAAATACTCCTCCCTTAATCCAAGATTTTGGGAGAAGACAAAACCACTCTTTCTTTAATCAAAGAATTTAAAAAATTTTCTTGGCAAATTTCAGCTGGAAGCCCTAATCAAAAATATGTATTTTTGCAATTTTTTTCTGAATAGGATTCCGAAAAATACATATGGAAGTCATAAATGATCAGCAAGATTTTGGCCTAAAATAAGCAACTTTTCAGAACCGGAATTATGATAATGCTGGCCAGTATCAAAACAGACAATAAAATTTAGGCCAGCACTATCTAAAAAAGGCAAGATTTTCATGAAAATTTAGGTTCTTTTTAAGCAAACTCAAATGTAACCTTTTTATGTATTTTTTGGGAATCCTTTCTGAATTATATAAAGAAAAAGTATAGAAATCATAGTTATGGTTTCCCAATCCAATACGCAAAAAAACTAAGAGATAGGACTACTTCTATGAAACTTTACCTTATGGATATGGATGAGACCACAAAACACGAATCATCCTGAATTCAATCACATCTAAGGTTGCTTGCCGAAACCTGTTTGGCCTAATGCCAAAAGGTGAAACCTTTTATATAGTGCTGAAACGCTGAAACGCCGAAACTGCGAAACTTGTCAAAATTGCAAAACTGCTGAAATATGCCGAAACCTCTATAATAGATTTCTCCGTAATTTTAGCATAGTTGATCATAAGATTTGCATATAGTTACGCCAAGTTACACCAATTAATAATATAATTTAGATGATCAAATAATCTACAGATAAAAAATTAAACTTCAATATTTTACCGTCATCTTAGTTCTTTTAAGCTTTATCTAGTATTAGAATTTTCATTTCTAACTCCCATATTAATATTATGATATTACACGTATTTGCAGTTTTTTTAAGAGGCTTATATTCATTAAAGGAAAATGCGTAACATGCATTTAATAAACCCAATTCCGTCATCTCCTTTAACATTGAACTAAAGTTTCTTTTACTTTCTTCCATTTTCTTAATAATAAAATTAATAATAAACTGCTTCAAATAACTGATCATATAGAATATTCACCTATTAAAAAGAAAAATAGAGGAGGTCGGCCACCTAATAGCATTTGGGAAGATATTAATAAAGGAGAAGCTGTTGGTTCTGGCAAATTTGCCGTTTCCTGCAAGTACTGTAAGAATACATAGTCACGCGGTAAAGTTTTAAAGCTCAAAGAGCATCTTTCAAACTATTGTCCAGATGCGCCAGCAGCAGTTGTTAGAAGGTATATGACTAAAGTAATGGAACAGCAAGATAAGTTTAAATCATCCAAAAAAAGAAAATACTCTGAAGGTCAAAGTAACATGAATGATTATCATGATTCAACAGAGCTTAACAAACAAAGATGTATACGAATTAATCGTGCATTAGTTAAATTTTTATTGCGTGCAGAATTGCGTTTAGAATAGTTGAACATCTCTTTTTCATTAATTTTATAAAAGAGCTTAATGTCGGGTAGTGTTTGGAATCGAATATATTCGAATACACTCGAGTATTCATTTAAATTTATAAAGTGTATTCGAATAATATTCGAATAAGTTAAATTTCCTTTTATAGTAATGATTTACATAATTTTTAGCCTGAATTATGATTTTAACTCAGTTAAATTTAAGGATTTAATGCCCAATTAGAATTTTAACTATACTATATCTGG